CAGGACCCTGGGATCATGACCTGAGCTGAAGGCAGACGCTTAACGACTAAGCCACCCAGGCGCCCCCTAAGCTTTTATGACTATGTTCTCTCCTCACCCTCTAACTACAGAACAACTTCTCTGACAAGGAGGGGACATTGAAAAATGCCTCATTCCCTCTTCCACCACCAAAGATTCCTTTTCAAAAGCATTGTGCATGCCCACAGCATTTGCGATTTAAATGGTTTACCATACACACCATCTCATCCCCAAATTATTTTTGTACTCTTCTTTGATCATCTATTTCTCTGCTGATTCCTCATCATGACTTAAAATTAAGAAATATTTATTAATTAATTCCTTCACATTTCTATTACCAGGTCAATTTTATTCTCTCTCCCTAAAATTTTCTCTAAGCAAAATCTAATGACTGAACCAGCTGGAGGGCCACAAATATACCATTTCTCCCTTATTTACTATGCCTTGATGGCCACCTTCTTTATCCTCTGGTAAATTTCATCAAACTCTTCCCTGTATCAAGGCCTTTACACAGGCTCTTCATTCCACCTGCAATGGTCATTCTCTCTCTCTGCCTGGCTAAATCCTCCCTGAGACACTTCCTTTCAGAATACTTTCCTGATGGCATCCCAATCCAAACTAGTTTCTCATTTTACTGTTATTATAACCTGTACATTTCCTTCAAATTACCCCACAGCTTATAAAACTGTTCACTTATTTAGGTGATTATTTTGTCCATTTCCTTCAATCAGATTGTAAATGCCAAGAAGCCAGAAAGTGTTTTATTTACTTCTATAGCTTCCTAATTCAGCATAGTGCCTGGCACATATAATAAATACCAATTACAAAAGATACTTACTTTATCTTTCCCTTGAATGATTTTAAGTTAAAACTACTACTATTTCTACCTCTATGTAAGAGTATTAAGAATGTATGTATGCGTGATAATCTCCCCACAACAATATGCCACTCGCAAAGAATCTCCTTCATCCCTCCCTGAAAGAGAAGATTCGGAAGCACAAGAAGAAGTGCCTGGTGCAGAGCCCCAAATCCTACTTCATGAACATGAAGTGCCCACAAGGCTACAAAATCACCACCATCTTTAGCCATGCACAGTTTTGTGAGTTGGCTGCTCCACTATCCTTTGCCAGCCTATAGGAGGAAAAGCAAGGCTTACAAAAGGATGCTCCTTCAGACAGAAACAGCACTAAAAGCACCCTGAATCAAAATGAGTGGGAAACCATCCCAATAAACACATTTTGGATACAAAAAAAAAATTAAAAAAAAGGTATGGATGTTTGTGCATATATTTTTTAATTAGCCAAGTAGTTTAACTAAACAAATAAGACAGTTTCTAAATCAGCATTATTTATATTTTCCAAATATTTTGCTCTCAGTGATTAAATTTTCCAAGCCTTACATTTTTTTATAAAGCAAAATTTTCTTAAAGTTCAGTAGCTCTTCTAGAAAAGCAGTTGGGTAACCTAAGAGGTCTGACTTAAGCCTTAATTTGCACATTTGGAAAAAGTGGTCAGGAAAAATGTAAACATTTGTTAATTCTCGGTGATGACTACATGAAAGTTTGTTATATATGACATTCTCTGTGCTTTTCAATATATAAAATGTTTCCAAAAAAGTAGGCCAAGAATCACTTCTATAAAGAATAATCAATAAGTGGCATTATACACATTTTATGTATTATTTGAAAGCTTCTTTTACTTCTAAATTACAGAGGAAAAACAAAACAAACGGACAGACTGTTAGGTATGGGTCTGCTTCCGATACTGTACTCATTCCAGAAGGCTACAAAACACAGTAATCAGTATTAATAGGATTTAAAAAGTAAAGTCCCAGGGCACCTGAGTGGCTCAGTCAGTTAAGCATCTGCCTTTGGCTCAAGTAATGATTTCAGAGTTCTGGGATGGAGCCCCATGTCAGGCTCCCTGCTCAGCAGGGAGTCTGCTTCTCCCTCTGTCCCTCCCCTCTGTTCCTGCACATGTGCTCTCTCTCTCAAATAAATAAAATCTTAAAAAAAAAAAAAAAGTAATCCCGTAATTCAAATGATATCCCACCTTATAGGATCTTCACAGGCACCAAATGGTAATTTGCCAAACTCCAGGCCTCCAACTTCCCCTCCTACAAGGGCATCTATATCTAAACAAAAGGAATATTTTTCCATTATTCAGCAAAAAATGAAGAAATAAGAATTTAATTAGGTTAGCTCTTTGGGCAATCATATATTTAAATGTGCCTATATCAAGAGCACACACAGAAAGTTAGAAAGCAAAGAATCTTTAACTGGACTGCTTGTAATAAAAAGCAGTTATAATAAATAGAATATTATAATAAGAGAACAATTCCTATTTGTATAGTGTTTCATTCAAGCCATGCATTCTACATTTTACCTTTTTGAAATATTCCTTAAACAATGCTTGAGAGAACATTAATCCTGTAAATTTTTTTGCATTTTCTAAGAATGTGATTAATATCATCTAAAAGAAAGATTATCCAAGTATTTAAAAATGTAATCACCAACCTACAGTTCTGCTGTCAATAATTTCTGAATAGCAAATCAGTTATTAATAAATTTTTATTTCAGATGGCAGTACATGGAAATAATTTAAGTTCAACAAAGAATTTCCTTTCTGTTATGAATAGTATCTGCGATTAGAGGAGAATGTAGCGGGTAAATCACTCTCCTTACTCCACCCCTCTTAAAGAACTAATAAAACACTTTTAAAAGACATCAAAAAGATTTCTCTTTGAAATAATTCAAATGGTTGCTTTTCATTATTTGCACTATACTGGGAATTCCACAAATTAAAGTCCATTGTTGAGTTATGAATATTCCCCAGATTTGCTAAAATCATGTTTGACAATTATCTGCAACCTAACTAAATTAAAATTAGTCATTAAATAGGGCTCAATTACTTGAATCAGTAAACTTTCTCAAGTCAATTTCATTCCACTTTTCCAACTAAAGAATGCTTATAATAATAAAGATTACAATGACTAGGTTTATTACAAGATGTGAATTTTTAAGAGCTTCAAAATGTGTAGTAAGCATATTTTATAAATTAATAAGCTAAAAATTATTACTAGACCATAACTGTGCAAAAGTTTTAATTCAATTAAAAGTTCCAAAGCAGGGCACAGGGGTGGCTCAGTCAGTTAGGCATCCAACTCTTGATTTCAGCTCAGGTCATGATCTCAGGGTTGTGAGACTGAGCCCCATGGCTAGCTCCACACTGCGAGTGGAGCCTGCTTAAGATTCTCTCTCTCTCTTCTCCCTCTCTTTAAAAAAAAAAGCAAAAAAACAAACACACACACACACACACAAAGTTCAGAAGCAACACTGTGGAATGAAAGTATCGTGGGATTTGGAGTTTGACCAGTGTTTGAAAGCAAACTTTATCATTTGATGACCATGTGACCCTGGGCCAGTTACCTATGTTCTCAAACACACATATATTCTCTAAGAAACATCACAGATAAATGATAATTACATGAAATAATATATAAAATGTCAGGCACAGTGTGTGGCCCATATTACATGTTCAAATCCCTTCCTTCCCTTTATAGGAGAAAATATTAAAAATTTATATGGCCTTCAATTCACTGCAAACGGTTAATATTTTGATCATCATTAAAAAAGAACTGGCGGGGCGCCTGGGTGGCTCAGTTGGTTAAGCAACTGCCTTCGGCTCAGGTCATG